TCGGAGACAATCTCCATACATAAAGGAGTGAGACAAGGATGCATTGTGTCTCCAGTTATATTTAACATGTACTCGGAGCGTATCTTCGAGCAAGCACTGGGACCACTACAGAAAGGTGTCTTCGCGAACGGAGTGCAAACTACATTGGATATACTGACGACGCAGCAGTTTTTGCAGATAGCCTAGATAGTTTAGAAGCAATAATGTCGCACATATCAGATATAAGTCGAGAATCTGTACTAGATCTCAATACGAACAAAACAAAGTACATGCTAGTTAGATCGAAATATTAAATACACATCTTTTAGTAAATCAATAACCAATTGACAGGGTAAACAGCTACACATATCTTGGTACTAACATAAACAATCAATGGAACCACTCTACTGCAATAAAACAACGTATAGGGAAAGCAAAATCAGCGTTCGTAAAGATGAAGTCTCTTTTCAGAAGTCACGATTTACCACTTAGTACCAAAATCTATGATATATACATACCAGATGCTATGTATTTTCTACATTATTATACGGAGTAGCGGCATGGATGCTCTCTGAAGCTTTGTAACGCTTCAATCAACCAAATGAACGTGACATCAAGCTCCGCTTGGTACTTGTCCCCCGTACTATATTATTCCAAAGCGACTTCACTAAATTATAAACATTTTTAGTAGCTATTCCATCCTATATAAGCTAATACAAATTTTTATTCGCTGTCTTTTCAATCATATCAATACAATCATTCTACAATGAAACTTTAGTGACACAAATTGGTTAGTGCCTTAGCCGTATACACGGGTAAGTATATTATTCTAGATTTAGGCCTCTATTTTTTACTTGTTTTCTTTTGCATTGCAGATACTTCCTTTCTTAAAATAAAGCTAAAAACATTTTAACTTTTATTTTTTTGGATATGTATATAACGAGTTTATTACAGCTGCCGCCGTTTCTCGCAACCTAGCTTCCAACGCTTGTGATCGTTCCAGTCATCTACTTGTAGACCCCTATCTTCCATTGCACCTTTTACTTCTTGTCTCCACGATCTTCTTGGTCTTTCCTTTTTCCTGCGGTTGGTGGGGATCCACTGTAACATTCTCTTTGGCCATCGTTGATCATTCATCGTTTCTACATGGCCATACCATTTCAGCCTTTTGCATTCTATAGTTTCCAGGATATCAATGTCTATGTCCGTACGCTCTCTGATTTCAGTATTCCTTATTCTATCTCTTCTAGTGAGTAGTCAACATCTTCTCCAATAATTCATTTCCATTGCTTTTATTTTGGGTGCGTCATTTTTATTTATTACCCATAGCTCTGAACCATATGTAGCAATGCTTTCTATGATACTTTTGTATATCCTAATATTTATGTTTCGGGTGATGTGGTTATTCCAAAGTATACTATTCAGTTGACGTATTGCTGAATTTCCTTGACCAGTTCTAGTAGCTATTTCTTTTGTATTCCGACCATTGTTTGTAATGTTTACACCGAGATATTTATAGCTATCAGTATTTTGAATTTGTTTGCTTCCTAGTTCTACGTGAATTCCTTCACCTCCCACTACTACGTACTCTGTTTTTGATGGATTAATTAATAGGCCCCACTTAGTATATTCTTCATCTATTTTTCGTAACATGTGGTGGATATCATCTTGATCTTCTGCAAGTATTACTTGGTCATCAGCAAAATGTAAGCTGTACAGTGTATGGTCTCCAATTTTAACACCCATAGGTTCACATTTTCTTTTCCAAATATTCAAAACCCCCTACAAATAAATCTTAAATAGTGTAGGTGCAATGCAGCAGCCTTGGTGAAGTCCTTTGGTCACGTTATATCTTTTTTGTCACTTTTTGTCCAATCTTTATTACACTCGTCATATCATCGTACAACTCCCTTACAGCATCAATGTAAATCGGTGGAATATCCTTGTCTTCTAGTACCTGCCATAGCTTGGCTAATGGGACACTGTCATATGCTTTTTGAAGATCAATAAATACCATTTGTGTCTCCATATTATGTTCCAAACGCTTTTCTATTGTTTGATTTAGGCAGAACACATTGTCTATACAAGAGCGACAAGTACGAAAGCCACTCTGATCTTCAGCATCTTCCCAACAATCTTCAATTCTCAGTTTCTTCGCGGTAGGAAATATCATATTTTTGGTAGCCAATATCTTGGAATTATGTTCGATCTTCTGTCAGCATTTGTTCATAATATTCGACCCATAATTCTGGGACTATTAGAGTTAACCTACTGCATTCTTTTCTATCTCTGCTACTACCTCTAATTGTTTTCCAGGCTTCTTTACTTCTTGCTGTACCCATAAAATTTTCTACGTTATCACATGCTTTATTCCACATCTCATTTTTGGCTTTATTTACCTCTTTTTTTACTTCTTTGTTTAAGCTGTTGTACTGTTGTCGATAGTAAGGGTCCTCTGTTGCTAGACATTTGTTATACATATTCTTCTTCTTCCCCACAAAATCTTCTATTTCTTTATTCCACCATTCATTTCTATTTTTTATGCTATCCACTTCTCCAATAGCTTCCATTGCAGCTTCGTCAAGAGCTTTCATAATTTCGTTGTACGTATTAATTGGTGAGGAGTAACAAACACCGTGCAATTTCAGATTCAACCTAATTCGATACAGAAACTGGGTAGACTCATTTCCAAAACCTTGTAGAATATATCTCTTTTTAAACTTTGAGGGTATACAAGGCAACTATCGAACACGGTGATTAATTTAATCTTGCCCAAGTACTTTCGATCAATAGATCATCTTCAGGGGCATTTCGTCAATTGTGGCCTATCTGACATAGTAGAATGTCATAAATGTAAAATCTGGACATAACAATACAAAATACACTACACTAAGACAAACAAACACTTTAAAATTTATATGGAGAAACTACATATTGTGAAGAAGCCGGAGACAGAATCTTCAGAAGACTTCTTCACAATATGTAGTTTCTCCATATAAATTTTAAAGTGTTTGTTTGTCTTAGTGTAGTGTATTTTGTATTGTTATGTCCAGATTTTACATTTATGACATTCTACTATGTCGGATAGGCCACAATTGACGAAATGCCCCTGAAGATGATCTATTGATCGAAAGTACTTGGGCAAGATTAAATTAATCACCGTGTTCGATAGTTGCCTTGTATACCCTCAAAGTTTAATTATTCGAACATTCAACCTTATATTGATATATCTCTTTGTTGAAATGTCTTGCAGTATCATTGAACTTTCGTTTTCTTTTTGTCGTTGGCTTCTTTTAAACGTAAATAGTAGTGACGCTTTAAGCAAATGGTGATCAGATCCACATTCTGCTCTTCGATGGACTCTAACGTTATTAACCCTTATTGTGTAGTTTTCTTTGCATATATAGTAATCGATTATTGATTTCAAATTCCTCGTTGGCTGAATCCATCTGAATTTATGAATATTCTTGTGCTGATAATATCCATTTATTATCTTTAAATTCATATGATCGCAGAAACTTATTAATCTTTCACCGTTTTTATTTATTTTTTCTTCTCCAAATGGACCGACCACTTTGCTATTTACTTTTCTTCCGGTTCTAGCATTTAAGTCACCTAGTATCGGACAGAGCACCATTCTGATGAATGGAACGGTGGGCGTTTTTCTCTCGAATATCCTTTGGGATATTCGAAGGATTTCTCCCCTCGTTTCTTTCAGCAGTGTGGTTTTGCTTAACGTCCTGGTCTTAATAAGATTAAGATGGTACAGCTTCTTTAGGAAAGAAAGTTCGAGGCCTTATAGATGTGGTGTTACAGGCGCATCTTACGAATTTCATGGAAGGATCGTGTGACTAATATTGAAGTCCTACGTAAAATGGGCAAGGAATGAGAGATCCTAACACAATTAAAGAGCGCAAATTAAAATATTTTGGCCATGTTATGAGAAATGAACACAGACATGGCTTATTGCAATTCATTTTTCAAAGCAAGTTTTTTGTAAAGAGAGGACCAGGGAGAAGACGAATATCTTGTCTTCAAAACCTAAGGAAGTGGTTCAATACAACTGGACTATTTCGAATAGCTGCAAGTAAAGTTGGGATGGCTATGCTGATCGCCAAAATTCGGAACGGATAGGCACCATAATGTAAATGTGGCAATAACTTCGAAACTATGGCATTTAGGTATCGGGAATATTACATAAAAAAGAATCAATATTTCTTGAGGAAAAGGCAAAAAATAACCAGGGTAATCCATTTGACATAAGAAAGTTCATTAGACTTTTAAAAAGACTGAAGAGTTTACAACAATGTAAATACCACCATAATATTGGCCGCTTCACAAGACCGATACACGATAATTAAGGCGTTTCATACTTAAAACTTACTCTGTAGATTGTGAATAAAAAAAAAACAAAATTAATATTTTCAAGGTACAAAAAAGGCTTCATTTTTGTTTTTAAAAAGGTTTGTATCTGTTTCTGAACATATTCTACAGTAATTTTAAGACACCACAATTTTAAACTTTAAAATCACTATTACTTCGCTCATTCATTTTTTGAAATTTCACAAAAAGGACATAATTACTCTTATTTTGAGTAGTGACACTATTTTTCCTTCCGTATGTGTAAGACTCATTCTTACACAACAAAAGCCACTCTGCTTATATTCTACTAAAAATTTTTGATTTACTTATTTGTTGTAGATATTACTAGTAAAAATGGAAAGAAAAATCATGAAATAACCGATAAAGAAATGTGAGAAAGGGTTCTGAGTAAATCATGTGTCAAAATAGAATAATAGAATAATTGATAATTTTGTAACGCATAATATTGTATTTTATTTTTTATAATTAAGTAGTTTGTCTTATATGATTCAGGATTGACAACTTTTAAACTCTAAGCCTTCAAAGCTTGTTGGACAAGATTGATAGATACTAGTTAGCCACAATAAACCTCTTGGGTCGAATGGAAGAGCCCTCTCATGATAAACCTAACCTAATATAATATATAATAAGTTACTTACATAGCATTACGAGTATCAGGTATTTCTCTATTACTTGATAAGTTATCACTAGCTTGCTGATTAAATTTATTCCTTCCATAAGGATCTTCGCCTTTTCGCAACCGGCCCTTGGAAACATATCCGACCTCATCAAAATAATTCCATGCCAGTCGATCATCTGTCGTTTCCAGGCTTTGAAGAGCCATTGGAACGCCTGGTCCTATGGCGATGTCTTCTGGTTGGACGTATGACGACATAGTAACTCCGTCTTTCAGTCTTAGAGCTTTATTTTCATTCTGAAAGTAAAAAAAAGAAATAAATACAATTTGTGTATATTTGCTTAAGTAGTAAACATTGTATATGCAATTTTATTAATAAGCAACGAAAGTTGTAGATTAATTTAAATTGCAAGTAATTGTTCAGTGGTTCTTGTGGTGTAGTAAGTCAATAAAAGTACGTAACCTCTTTTCAGTAGATGGCAAGAGTGCATCTAGAAATGGTTGAAATACAAATGAAATTAAATTCAAATTTGGAAATAAAATGCTCAAAATAAAAACTTATTAAAGTTGAAATCAATAATCAATATTATCGTGCTATGTCAGATTCCGAAAGATTTTCATTCTCGTCATTCAACAATTTATAAACAATATACCAGGCAAATTTTTTAAGTACGGAGGAGAGATTTTACATAGACAATTACACAACCTAATAGCACTTATTTGGAATGAAGGGAAAATACCAATAAAATTATATGAAAGTGTAATAATCCCCATCAATAAAAAGGGAGACAAAACCAAGTGCTCCAACTATAGACTAATCTCTCTACCTAATACGACACACACATCTCATCGAATATTCTATTAGGTAGATTGACACACCTTTTGTGGAAATTTTGATAGGGGAATACCAAGATGAATTTAGGAAAAATAGATCGACCATAGATCAAGATTTTTACTTTAATTCTACTTAAAAAAGAATGGAAATTCAACAGAACTATCCATAAAGTTTTCATGAAATTCCGGCAAACATACGGCAGGATTAAAAGGGATCAGATATCGAATTAATTGGCAGAACTTTCGATTAAAAAAAAAAACTAATACAGCCTATTAAAATATGTGTAAATGACTGTAGATTCAGGGTGCGAATAAGTATTCAACTGTCAGAATCGTATGAAATAAACAGTGGCCTACTACTAGGATGTATACATGGACGGCATTGATACTGTTGGAAACAACATCACCACTCTAAAGAATAGAGGCAAAAACCTGTCTAATGTTCAATGAAGATAAAATCAAACATATGTGCATTAAGAGACAAAAGAGACGAGATAGAATACGGTAAAATGTAACAATACATTCATAAACCTTGAAAGAGTGGAGCGTCTTAAATATCTTGGAGTGATAATAACGGCAGATGACAATATCACAGAAGAGATGAAAGGGAGAATTCAGGTAGCCAACAGATGTATGTATAGCTTCCACAACATATAAGTGCCTAACACGAACCTAAAAAATCAGGATATATAAAACAGTGATTTCACCGCTGCTCAGGTATGTACGTAAGACGTGGACGCTGATAAACGCAATGGAAATAAAACTTACGTATTTTGAAAAAAAAATCCTTAAAAGGATTTTCGGATCCTACCAAACCTTAAATAAATACTAGCCAATAGCGAATGAGGTCAAGCAGATTTATATCTAGCGACGTAGTCCAAGAGATTATCTGAACGCCTAACGGGGAGTTGCCATGTCCATGGGCTTTCTAATAATCGCCTTGCGAAGTTAATGTGGGAAAAGGTCCCGACAGGAAGAAGGCCCTCATTACGCCCACAAATCCGGTGAAAATGTAACATATGGTCAGATTTAAGAATAATGTGGCTACTCACCGACCAAAATATCCTGGACGATCGTGGGAGATGAAAGACGTTGTGCTGTCAACTAAGACTGGATTGTAGTGATACAAGAAGAAGAATACAATTTATAGAAGACATACTATTAAAAATTCAAAATAATATGGGCGAACTACTTTCGTGTTAAGAAGTAATCTCCAGTTTTTTAATTAATGCACCATTTTTTTAACTTCCATATTTCTTTTGCTGGGTTAATTCCAAAAAAGTTGTTTAAAATTTCCACGAGGTAAAAAAACAATAAAAACTGTTGAACTAACCCTTGACTCCCGCATTGTAACTTGATATCTATATATTTCTAGTTTTTTATTAACTTTTAACATATAACCGTAAACAATAAATCACACACTATTTTTTGTCTTTATATTTTTGCTTAAAGATTTTAACAGTCGATTATAAAAAAGGTTTTATTGCTTTGAATTTATAAATTATAAGGGAATAAAAATACCCTTTAAAAGGTTTATTATAGAGGTTGAAAAGACCATAACGGCAGTTAGAAACTATTGCTACAATTAACCAATAAATTGCCACTTTTGGATAGTAACATTCATTCTTCACTAGAGGATAATAGGAATAAAGCGGTTAACGCTGGCCTGGATTTGAATCGGTTAGGCAACCTATACTAGTGGCAGAAATAAGAGCAGCCATAATATCACTAAAAGAAAAGAGAGCGTCAGGACCAGACGGAGTATAGTCTGATTTTCTTAAATTTCTTGATGATGAATCCTTAAGAATACTATGTAAAATATTCAATAATATCTATGACACAGGCAATATTGCAAAAAGGCTAGTTTCAGAATTTATTATGTAACCAAAGAAACATAGAGCGAAAAGTGCGAAGAATATAGGCTAATAAGTCTGATGAGCCATACACTAAAAGTTTTGCAGAATATAAAAGCTATGCAAAGGGAGAATACAAGACACTTAGTTTGGATTAATGATAGGCGTAGTAGGTACGAGAGATGCACTGTTTATCCAGAGATATGAACTTATTTGATCCAGAGATATGACTTGCGATATCTACACCTGCTTTGTGGACTACCAAACAGCGTATAAAGCGTATAAAGATCGGCGTATAATAAAAAAATTATACTGAAACCAATCAGCCACAATAAGAACAAATCTTGGAGATTAACCGACGGAAGCGATACAGATTCTGCGAAACGTTAGACAAGGATGTATACTTTCGCCTATATTATTCAACCCATATTCAGAGGAAATATTTAGTGAAGCCTTGAAAAATTGTAAACATGGAATCCATTTAAATGGATAACACCTAAACAACATCCGCTATGCAGATGACACCGTTATTTTTGTAGACAGTTTAAAAAGTTTACAGCAATTAAGACACAAAGTAAATGAAATAAGTGAAAGATTTGGATTACAAGTAAACATATCAAAAACTAAATATATGGTAATCAGCAATAATAAAATTAGAGACGTCCAATTAATCTGGAGATAAAAGTAAAGCTCCTAAGATGTTACAATCTTCTCGATATTATACTACGGAGTTGAATCCTTGACACTCACTGAAGCGATGGAGAAAAAACTTGAAGCCTTCAAAATGTGGCTATACAGAAGAATCCGAAGGATATCATTGACGGACAAGATAACCAACGAGACTGTACTACGAAGAATCGGGAAAGAAAGAGAAGTGATATATACGGTTAAAAGGAGAAAGTTAGAATATCTCGGACACCTAATGAGAAACGGCAGTAAATATAGATTACTGAAAAGAATCCTTCAAGGTAAAGTATTTGGAAAGCCAGGAATTGTGGGAAGAAGAATATCATGGTTAAAAAACCTGAGGAAATGGTTTTCTACAACAACAACAAATATATTTAAAGCATCAGTTAATAAAATAATTACAGCCAGAATGATCGCCAATATTCAAAACGAATAGGCACCAAAGAAGAAGAAGGGAATCATGTTAGAGTTCTATTACATATAAATCCCACATGAATAGCATTTGGCTGATAGCTGTGCCTATATCGCGCATCGTAGTGTTGAAGGGGGGGAAAGGGATAGTCTGAAGCATTGCAGCGCGCTGCGATACATACGAATTAATACACCTCGCTCCAATGAATTGTTACAATCGAACGTCATTTCACGGGGTGAACATGTTTCTCAGGCTAGATTAAATCAAATTGAAGCTTAACATTAATTCTATTCTTAAAGTTCCAAGTGGGACAGTCATTGCGCTCTACGTATATGGCTCATTTCGCCATCTTCTTCTTTTTATGGTGCCCTATCCAATTAGTGGATATTGGCGACAATTCTGGCATACTTCTCTCGATCTTGTGTAGCTCTAAAGAGTGCATGGGCATCGAAGTTTGTCCAATCCCTTACGTTTTTAAGCCATGAGTATTTCTTTCTTCCAATGCCCCATTTTCCTTCTATATTCCTTTCATAATAAGCTTTAAGAACTTACAATTTCGAAATATATGACCCAGATAAGCAGTTTTTTTTCTTTTTGTTATTGGCAGCAATTCTCCTTCTCTGCCCATTCGATTTAATACTTCGACATTTGTTGTGTGATTTGTCCAGGGAATTTTAAGTAGTCTTTTAAATACTCACATTTCAAAGGCCTCCAATCAGTTCATCATATTGGCCTTTATGGTCCAGGTTTCTATACCATATAGCAGTATTGAGTAAATGTAACATTTTACAAAGCGATGTCGAAACGTTAAGTTAAGACTGCTGTTGCTCAGCAAGGTTCTAATATTAGTTAATGCTGTTCTGGCTTGCTCAATCCTGCTACGTATCTCTATGTCTGAATCTATATCTTCAGTTATCCAACTACCAAGATATCTCAACTTAGGGACCTTCTGAATGCTCTTATATTTAATTGCATATTTCGTGTTCTACTAACCCTCATTATCTTCGTCTTGTCTTTATTAATCTTCAAGCCTAGTCGTTCTCCTTCAGTGTTTATTCTATCTATTAGTCGTTGTAGCGCTTCTTAGCTATCAGCTATTATGACTGTATCATCAGTATAGCGAGGATTACTAATAGTCTGTCCTTTAATCTTGATTCCATCTTCAGTGTCACTTAATTATCTATCGAAAATCGTTTCAGAGTAAAGATTAAAAAGGAGGGGTGACAGAACACAACCACGTCGTACACGTTTTTCGATTGAGAAATATGATGTAGATTCCAGTCCTACTCTCACAAATGCCACTTGATTCATATAAAGATTCTTTATGATTTTAAGGTCACTCTCATCTATCGAACGTTCCTGGAGCAATCTTACTAATTCTGAATGATTAACACAATTGAACGCTTTCTGGTAATCTATAAAACATAGGAAGACACCTTTTTGCTGATCTCTGCATTTCTGAAGTAGGACAGTTAAGCTATAAAGTGTTTCTCTTGCGCCAAATCCTTGTCTGAAACCGAACGGTGTGGGGCTATTGTCTCTTTCACATCTGTTGTATATTCTTGTGTGAATTATCTTTAAAAAGAGTTTTAGGACCTGGCTCAATAAGCTGATCATTCAGAATTGGTCGCAACTATTAGCGTTTGGCTTTAGCGTTTGGATTTCGCTATCACCACACTTTATTATGCACGCAAACAGACATAGCAGGCAGTTAAGTTATTTAAATTAAGTATTTAGTCAAACACAAAATTGTTTAAATTAAACACAAAAGTGTTTTTGCAATCAAATAAAGTTTATTTTAAAACTCAAAAATCTACAATTTACTTCAACATCGAATTAGTACCTGCTTCAACAAAGAATTAAATCGAAGTCTTTCATGGTCAGCCACTTTAAAATCTTGGCTCTAGTCTTATGTTGAGGGAAAGAGACATCCACAGCAGATTGGATTTGACACTTTGTATGGTACAATTAGCTTTTTGCCGCAGTATAGTTCTAAGTTGATCGTGTAATATGACATATTATGTAAAAACTACATTAGAACCATAAAAAAGCTTCCAGTATCGCTAGAATCGCTCGAAATCGATCACTAAAAGGACATCGGACCGTCCTTAATAGAAAGTGGAGCAAAGACAGAGTGGGTGAGTGTAACAAAATTTGATTTAAATTAAGACCGAAAAGAAAGAATAATAAAAAATATAACCTTTTTTTATTTTTTAATATCTTTGTCAGAAAGATTTTATAACGATATATTTTACCGCGGATATTTTATTTTATACGTTGGTTTAACCTAACCTACAATGTTTCTTCATCTATTGTTTTATGTAAGTTCTCATAAACAAACAGCCTATTTAAAACAATGAAATTTATGTATAAATCTACACATACAGAACACTACTTTAAATCTTGCCCCAGTTAGACATCAAACTGAAGAACAAAAGAATATTCATATTCACACAACGTGGTACCGCAAATTTTGAGGTGAAAGGGATGATTTAAAGCTATTTCTCAAGGAAATACGGCGTCTGAGAATAGAATCTGCTAACAAGCGCTATTGTACGTAACTGTTTTACTTTCTCTTCCGCAATTAAACGGGTTACATCAAGAATTAGATTAAAACTGTGCATTGTAAATAATCAAGTTATAAATGTTTAATAAGTAAATAGTATAATAAATTATTCCATGAAATTAATACTAATATATACTAATGCAAGACACAAAATAACTAATATACAGGATGTTAAGAAAATTATTCGAAAAATTTAATAAATTATTTTATACTCAATTTCAAGAGTATATATATGTTTTTACGTTTATGACTTGAGGGTCACGATATTATAAATGTGCTGGCGTGGTTCCGGTAAAACATTGGTCATGTATAAAACGATCCATTACTCCGTAAAATACATCCTAGAGATCATTAATATGAGGTTAGGATAATTATCTGCAGAAGAATCCAAACAGCCGCTGTAGATTTTGTTCCCTTTTTTGATAATATATCTTTTAACTTTTACGATACACGATGTAAGAAGAAATTAAAATAACAATGAACGATTGATATAAAATGATATGAAAAGACCGACTGGACAATGGTTATTAGGTGATTATGGTTTGGGGACTAGCAATGCAAGAGTTTACAGATTGGTTTAATTTTGTCAAGAAGGGAACCTGGCAATAATGAACAGGTAGTTTCGATTCACACCTCGAAGGTTGTATACTTGGAGGAAGTCACGCATAATAATTAACAAAATTTAATTAGTAGTTAGATCAAATTTATTAATCAATGCAAAATTTAGATAAAAATTCCATTATAAAGACATAATATGTAAGAAATAACTCAGGATAAGACTTACCCTGGACCAGTTATAAATACAGAACGAAACTCAACAAAGGAAAGAAGAAACCTACAAAAATTGGATTATTCAAAAATACTGGAAATCAGGGAACAAAGAAGAAAATATAGAAACAAAACGTCAGATAAATAAAGAAAAAAACTAACAACAAAAAAATAAAAGAGGCCACGGAAAAGTAGATAAATAAAACATGCGTTGAGATAGAGGAATTAAGTAACAGTAAGTTAGATTTCTAGAATGTGTTCTGCTTTGACTGGTTGCTTTTGCCTGGACTAGTTGGTGATCTCATTAACATTTTTCTCCTCGATCTTCTAAATGTACCTATTTTCTAATGATGTAGGTGACCACATTGACCCATCTTATTTTATTCAAAACAACTCGAAATAGATTAGTTGACGTTAGACCAGTCCGTTACCTAAGATTGGGCAGCCAGGATATACGTCTGCATCCAAAACCCGCCTTGCCCTCAATCTTGCTTTCTAGAGTCAACTGTAGAAGTCGGTATAGTGTTTATTATTACGTGTAATCTTGCCGAAGTAACCAAAGTTTTGATCTTTACGGTGTTAATAATAATTTCTTTATTTTTTCTTAGCCTCTGAGCATTAGTTATGTTAGTTGTGTAGTGTATATATGAAATCCTCAACATACGTCGGTAGTAACACATTTTAAATGCCTCTAACCGTTTTATGGCTCTTCTATAAGACACCAGCTTTCTACTCCATAGAGGAGGACACAAGACGTAACATCTAAGAATCTTATGCGTATATTGATACTTAAATATAAGGTGCAGTGAATCTTCCTAAGACCGTTAAAAAAGCTTTTGGCTTTTTTAATACTAGTTTTTATTTTGTAGCTATGATCCCAGGTATCTTTAATATTACAGCTCAGATAGCATATTTTCTCCTCTCTTTCTAACGGTGTATGGTTTGCTGTTTATGTTAATGTGTTTACTAATGATCATTATTCTTGTCTCCTTAGAATTTAGTTTTAAGTCGTATTTAAAACATATTTCTACAAGAAGATTATTATCTTTTGAAGGCCCAGCGCACTATCTTCCAGCAATACGGTATCGTCTGCATATCTAATATTGTTAACAAGTTAGCCATTGACTGTAATACCATCGTCTGATTCATCCAAATCTAAATATATTGTCAGAGTAAATGTTAAATACTGCTGGTGACAGGATGCAACCCTATCGAACTTTTCTAACATATGTGAAGATCTCGAACAGTTTATTTTAGAATCCCACTGTTGCTTTTTGCTATAAACATAAGCTTAAAATCAGTTTTATATTCTTACCATCGAGTCCTGATGTTTTTAGGATATTGATTAGTTTCGCTTATGGTACTTGGTCAGATGTCTCTTAGAAATTAGTGAAACATATATACACATAGCAGTTGATATTCCTGGCTCTCTGTATTAAACTCGCAAACTAAAAGTGCTTTTATTGTTTCGCGTCCTGCTCTTAATCCAAATTGAACTTCACTTCGGTGTTCTTCTAATTTAGTGTATATGCACAGGTGAATTATAGTAGGGAGACTTTAAGTACCTGGCTCATGACACTAATTAATCTATTTGGGAAGTGGAATGAATATTGACAGCAGCCAGTCTTTTGATAAGTGAGCATATATATTGTTAAATAACTTCGAAGAGCTGTGATTTGGTGCCTAGAATAGCTTTAAAATTTCACCACGCATTTCATCAGGTCAAAGTGATTTCTCATCTTGAATTTACTCAATGGATCTGGGCGGCCATAGGGATTGTCTATTTCAGTCGGTCTTCTTGCTTTATCTTTGAATAATTCTTGCATGTATTCTTTCCATTTTCTTAATTTATCTTCAATTGTAGTCAAAACCTGACCTTAGTTAACTACAACTCTGCCTATATTGCATTATTTTCTGGTGTCCTGTACTTCTTTATTTTTTTTGTACATATGGAAATCGTTATGTTTGATGAAATCAATTTCCGTACATTTTTCGATCAGCCATGCTTCTCTTGCTCTTTTTATTTCCCGTAGTATACGTTTAACTTTTTGTATTCATTATCATTTCTACCTTTTAATTTCCTTCATTATTTCATCATCTTTACTATTTTATTTCTCATCCATTCTTGCTTGTTTTCTTTTTTTAAATTAAGATTTTCATGCGAAAGTATGATAATGGATGTCTTCATTTCATATCACCGTTCTATTTTACATATTTTCGCGTTGTTTTTACTTTACTATTTTGAGCCTCATTTTCTTATGAACTATTTTGTGTCGTATATTGAATATTTGCAACTAGACACTATCCTCGATAGACAATTATATGCAAAATATTTAGAATGCTTGCGCATTATTACATAATCAGCAGTTGATCTAATGTGTCTTGATAAAATCTAATTTGCTTTTAACGATAGTCCTTTACATAGCTGTATTAGTTGCATACCGTTTTGATTTATAATCCTTTATCATATTTTCCAATAATGTTGGATATATTATTTCCAATGCTGAATAAATACAAATCTCTTACTATCCGACTCGCGAATTTAGATATGTTAAAATGCATATTTCCGTATTTTTAATTGCATGCAAATATAACATGCCTTCTTACACTTCAAATATAATATGGTTATGGCCATTATTTTTTAACACTACAATAATAATTTGCCTATTAACTTGTAGCTAGCTTTTTATAAATTTTACTAATATGGCTACAGATTATTTTGCTGTGTTACTTTTTTGTGCTACACTGTAAATTTATGTATCGCTACCGATTTTTCCATTCCCTGTGCTTTTTTTTCTTATACCCTGCAATTTTCTCAGTCTTTTTAGGTGTCTCTCTCTGTCTCAGTCGCTGTTTGGGGTTAATTCCCATATACAAAACCTTTCACTGTCTCGTCTCCCTCGTTTAACGCACATTGATTTTGGGTCATACACCCAGTGTTTACGGGACATAAGCTATATTTCTAGAACCTCCTACCTTTTTGATTCAGTATATACTACGGAATATCATAATGCCTTCAAGGTCCCATACCCTCATTAGAAGCAACAAATTTTACAATTCTTCTTCTTCATGTACCACGTCCTATCAGAACGTTAGTTACTATCATAGCTATCTTAATTTTATTCACTGCCACCCTAATTAGCATGCTTGTATCAACACCATACCAATCTCGCAAGTTCTTCAACCATGAGGTTCTTCTTCGTCCTGGACTGCGTTTGCCTGCTTTTTTTCCTTGCATGATATTTTGTAGCAACCTATATTTGAGACCTCTCATTACATGTCCGAAATACTCCAGCTTTCTCTGCTTGAAGCTTTTTATGATCTCAGTAGTCTTGCTGGACGTTCTAGTATTGTGGAGTTTCGAATCATCTCCACCCAGGAAACTTTTAAAATTATTCTAAAGCACATTTCGAAAGCCTCAAGGCGATTTAGATCTATTTTATTCACAGTCCAGGACTCGACACCATAAAGTAAGACCGAGAACACGTAGCAGCGAAGTAGGTGGATCCTCAATGCCAATTTTAGGTCTCTGTTACATAACACCTTGGACATCCTTCTAAAAGCAGCTCTAGCCTACTCTATCCTAGATCTAATTTCGCCGTGACTTTCTGCGTTACAATTTAATTGCTGTCCAAGGTAAACGATTTTATCAACTTGCTCAAGTTTGGTATTATTTACATATATAGACGGTTTTATATGCTATTGTTTACTTATTACGACTATTTTGGTTTTGCGTATGTTCAGATCCAGACCTGCCTCCCTACAACTCTCAACGACACTATAAGTAGTGTTTGCTGATCTTCTTGATTAGAAGCTAGGAGTACGGTATCGTCTGCATATCGCAAATTATTGATGACTTCGCAGTTCACAAGTATTTCTTCTTGTTTTTCAGAAAGTGCTGTTCTGAAAATTCTTTCGAAGTAAACGTTAAGAAGCAGGGGTGACAAGAGGCATCCCTGCCGTATTTCTCTTTTAATGTTGACAGCCTGTGATTCCACACCATCTACCTACCAAAACTAATGTTGTTTGATTCCAATATAAATTTGCAATTATTCGAACATCCCTGCCGTCCAAGCCAATGTCTTTTAGAGCGTCGATCAATATAGAGTGATTTTACAATTAACGTCATACATCACGTACATGGTCTTTCGACCTTAATATAAATCATACAGCGTGGTTAAAAATCTAGTTTATAATGATGATTTAGATATTGTGAAAACCATTCATTGTAGTTACCACTCGTTTATGTAACCCAAACCCATACTTAAGACAAATCTGAAAAAAAATATAAACGTCATTGTTTAGAACAATCACATTTAGAAATCTTTACCATTGAAACTAACAATGCAGAACTATCGTAACCGATTCATTATAAGGTAATTAAACATACCCAAAAACTTAAGCACTAAAGTAACAGAAACTTCGATTAACTTATAGTTAGTGACATTACATAACATTTACAATTTTAAAGGAGTAAATATAAATAATCACCCAAAATTAACAAATGTTTTTAAATAACAAAAAGTTTTATGTTGTACTGTGTAATTGCAGCGGTAATCAACCGTTAAATAGCTAAAAGAAGAAAGTTTTTACGTTTTTGTTGAATGTCAGTTATTTGCAAAAAAATGTAAATAAAAAAACGATAATTAAATGCTATCATAATTACTATGCGAATTAATAAAAACACTTTAGACTGCAAGATTTGCAATTAAAATTAATCTAGACGTAATCAATTCAATGCTGTGGCTCTTAATCTTTTTAGCACTTAAAATAAGTTCGGACAAGCGCAAATTTGGGACAAGAGCGTCTTTTCAACTATGTAAAAACAATTTCTAAAATAATCACATAGAATGTGGTAAACTATGTTACCTTTCATACATTTGGTATATACACCGAAGTTTGGCAACGTTGAAATATGTACTTCAACTGTCCAGCGTACACATTTTCTTCTTTTTTTAACTTTAAAATCGAGTTGATCATGAAATGTCAATGGCAGGTTATTAACTAAAACTTGCAAAATTTTTAGAGTTTTACGAGAAAGTTACTTGACCAGAGACAGAAAGAAAAATCAATTGGTGATTACGTAGACGAGTTCACTACCGGACTAGGAACAATTATGCCTTACATAAAAGAACCTAATGCAGAAAAAAAAAGAATCCTGATGGAAATTATCCACTAACAATTTTATATGCTACACCAATCTGGCATCAAGTACTAAACAAAAAAAGTATAACTTAATAGTGGAAAAACACAAAGAAAAGCTTTGTTAAATGTCGTTTCCGCGAACCGGACGGCCTCAACTGTAGCTCTACAGATCATAGCGGGAGTACATCCAATTCACCTGCAGACAAAAGAAAAATCATAAAAATTGGAAAATCAACGGAGAGCTACCTGGACGAGGGTGCTAATCCCGTATATGTAGGAGTAGATCAATTGCAATTACAATAGCACAAACTACTTCTTTACACAATTTATAACGGACCATGGATAGTTCAGAGACTATCTCGAAATAATAGATAAAACAACGGATAGTAATTGTACGGACTATGAAGTTAATGACACAGCCGAGCATTATATATTTGAATATAATAGGATCAATGAAGATAGAGCCGAAATGTATGCTAAAATAAACATATTTAGAGCGAAAGACATAATGACGGTTACCGGATGCCGAATGATTACCGAAAGCAATAACAAAACTTATAAAAAGGATATAAATTCTAGAATAAGTAAGACAGTAAGGACAAATAGCCAAAAACCCCCAAAAAAGAAATGCATTTTGTAAACTAATGTCTTCTTTGCGACCAAATTTAAAAAAATCAAGGGATTGAAATCAGGACTTCTTGGTGGCCAAGCAAACTCACTTCCACGACTTCCATCGATTCGAAAACTGTTGATTTAAGTATTCATGAACTTCTAAAAATTATGTGGTGATGCCCTGTCAAGCAAAAACCACATGATTTATCTTAAGATGAGAGGTAGCGATATTCTCTAGTAATTCGTGTAAATTTTCTTGACAAAAATCTAAATACAGGGGTCCATTTAAAGTGCTTGGCGGTTTAAAAGGAGCTATTAAGTAGACACATATTACAAAAAAATATATGTTAACCTTAAAGTCGTGGTAAAAGTGGGTTTTACTTTCTTAACATGAGGATTTTTAGAACCCCACAAATGGTTATTTTTCTAATTAAATATTCCTTATTTGGTAAATGGTGAAAATTTTCCAGAAAATCTGGGATAATATTTTGCTTATCTTGTAAAAATTCAGCAAATTGTAGATCTGCAGGAAAATCTTTTAGTAGTAAACTATGAACAGAAGTGCAATGGAATGGATGCAGTTTTCTCTCTTCGAGCAAAAACACAAATTATTTCACGTATACCATTTTTGTAAAAATCGTTATACCTAGGTAATATTTGATAAATAACTAATTTGTTAGTTATTTATCTTAATACCCTTACTCCTATTATTATCAAATAATACCAACGGCAAGTTTTATTGCTACACACACTGTCAGAATCATCCTGTATACGTCTAGAATTTTGGTCATTAACAAAACGTTAAACCTGGATACAA